CAAGTCGTGATATCATGTCGGGATTAACGTGTATAGTACAACCACTATTAGTATATCAAACTTTGTGCTATTAGAATTAGGGAGACATAGAACATATCTTGCAAATTCAATGACAGCAATTTGCATCCCGAAGCAAATACCGTGAAACAACAATGTTTTCTCGAGCATATTACTTATTAATTTTATATCAACAACATGGGAGTAAATACAAGGTTGCCACGCGAGAAAAAAGTGAAAAACATATACTTTTTGAATCATCAATCATTTTGAAAATCAACAACTAATCATATCATACTTGTTAGAAATCGCCTACAGAGAAAAATTAAAACAAATCAGATCATACTTATAACTAAAATGAAAACAAACTACAAAGAAAAATACTTACATAACTTACTCAATCTTTAGACAACTCCCCAATGTCTCTGAGAAAAAAATTGTAGGTAGATAAAAACGCTCATCGGTGTCCCTGAAAACATCAATAAATTACTCAATCAATATAAACATCTTAAAAAGGAGATAAAAAATCAATACCACCTAATATTTGAGTTTCAAAAATACCTTTCAACTTAGCAAATGCAGCGCATAGAACGTTCTTCAGGAAGAAACAAACTATAGGTTTAGAATTTTTCAAAAACATGACCTGGTGGTATGAAAAGTCATCGGCACAGTGGAACCCTAACATTGAACATAACACCTACAAAGTTTGAAAACAAATAAGAACACAAAAAAACATATATGAGGACGATAATAGAAAGAAGAAGAGAAATGTTGTGAATCGATGAATCCTGGTTGAGAAAGACAATAAATTATAGCAAAGATGAGAGTAAATGGTAGAAATGATGGCTGGAATTTGAATCGATGTTTGATTTTTTTGTATGTTCAGATTAGATGCATGTTTAGTTGTAAGGTGAAAGAATAAAGGATTTTCAAGTATCGGTAATCACAAAACTTTTCACTCCACAACATTTGGGTCAAGTTTGAAAGGTTTTTCACGGAAACCATCAAAAGATTGATTACTTCACAACATATAATTTTTTTCGGCCAATCAGAGAACTCTTCCCTCCACAACATTTAATGATTTTCGGCTCAAATTAGTAGAATTTGCCCACAAAAAACAAACTTTGGCCAATCACAAAAAAGGTTAATTTCGATATTTTCAGAATATATTGTTTTCTTATATTGTAGATTTTTGTTAGCATTGGAGTTAAACCAATAATTTCTAACCAATTTTATCCCATTGAAAAACAATTTTTTATATGATGTAGTCAAACTCTTTTTTATTTATTTATATTTTTAGTCTAACCATTTTTTTACCATCAAATAACCTCTCTTTTTTTAGAAAAAACCTTGTAAATACTTTCAAGCCAAAACTTCGTCATTCACTATCAAATTATTTATCTTTTTTCGCTCTGTGCAACAATCAGCCTCTTTTTGCTCTGTACGACAATTAATTTTCTCGCCCCGTGCACAAATCTAATTTAAACACTTTCTTCATAAACTAAAATCCACCAACCAACAAAACTACAAACTATGATGACTCTGGATTTTTCATTCTTGGATGAGAGTACGTAGGCACGAGGTTGAGAAACCTCGATGAGTCCACTCATATAGATTAACTCTTTTTTCCATTTTACCCCTATGTATATATCCTTCTCCTTGTAAAAATAAAAGCGCAAGAAATAATAATTAGGCAAACATTAGCAAACAAACACTTAATTCTAGATCTAGAGAAGGTTCCCATTGAGCACGACAGAGGTGAAGGGTGCCTATCACCTTCCCCTCACTTAATTGACTCTCAAACTCATATTTGGTTATGATGGCCATCTTATCCTTTCCTTTAAGGTTTTATCATTATTTCCCCTATTCATTAGGAATGAATAAGATATGGTGGTGACTCTATTATTTTTCTAGTCGTGATACTATTGATTTTTCTCCAATTAAAATGCATAAAAATAAGTCAACCAAAGCTTTGATATCACTTTGTTGAAAAAAACCAAATAAATTGATCTCTTTAAAAGATTTTTTTTTCAAGTTTGTGCAATTTAAATACGCAACTAGTAAAACTAATTCCATAACATAATAATAATAAAAGAAAATTAAATAGCATGTTCATCACATTTTTAATGTGAACAACTTTAAGATGAAAGAATAAAAACCATGAAACTCAATTCAATCAAACTTTTCACTATATAAATAATGAGTATAAAAAAATCTAAAACACTCAAGAATAACAATAGTTGTTAATAAAAGTAAATGTGAAAAACACATTTTAAACAACATTTCCACAAAAATAGGGACATATCAAAACAACTCTAAAATAAATTAAAACTACTCGAAAGATACACAAATATAATTATTTAAATGATATTAACAAAATAATGAATTTATAACTTTTGATAAATAAAAAATTTACATCCACCTATAATTAGTAAGTAATTTTCTCTTCTCTTTTTTCTTCTTTGACACATTCCTTCCTTTTCTTCTTTTTTATATAATATTAGCATTTGAAATAGATTATGCGTATGATCGATTTCTATCATTTGGATGATTTGGATGGTTAGGGCAAGGGCATAAATGTTTCTGCCATTAAAATAAAAAATGAAGCTTTTTTCGAAGATGTAACTCTGAAGTGTGTTGTTTCTGGTGTTTGGAGCTACATCTTTGAATTCTTTCCTTCCTAATACACTAATATCTTTTGTTATGTTTTATCAGTGATAATGGTTGCAAACAACGACAGGATGAGACTCGACCGTTCAACCATAATCGTGTCTACTCACCGCGAGAGGGCTCGTCAGCATGAGCACTCTAGAACCTTTCTTGTGACTCATGACAGGAAGCGTCGATCTCTAAGAGAAAACTATCATATGGATCGTCATCCCAGGCTTATACACACCACGAGGAATAGGCCCCTGCTGCATAGCAGGCCTCAACTGCACAACATGCCCCACTCGCAGACCCTTGTCTAGGAGGGCCCGTGAGCACTTCATTGCTGATATACTTTGGAGATCATGTGGCTCTACATATCTCGATCAGAAAGGTATATTTCTTAACGGTTATACTTTTTATATTTTAACCAAATTCAATTCGAATGAGATTGTTATATTTTTTTTAACATGAACGCGAGTGCTTGAAATCTGTGAACCATGCCAGAAATATTCACAGGCTTGTTCAGCCTCAGGAAGAGTGGTTCCTTAGTGTACTCTGATCCTCCGATCTTGCAAGTCTTGGTGCTTCCGAGTACAATATAATCATCCATGACATGCAGACGATGTTTGTAGAGAGATGGTATAGCGAAACATCATCTTTCCACCTCTTCAATGGCATGATGGCAATTACATTAGATGATGTTGCTTGACTCCTACACCTTCCCATCAGAAGAACAATGCTTGCTCATTCTAAGATCACTAATGTTGATGTAGTGGAGATGATGGTGGTTTATTTGGGAACTGACCCTGAGGAAGTCTTTCAGTAGTGTAAGAATACTAGGGGCGAACATGCCAAGTGTTGTTGGTTAGAGACATTGTATAACGAAAACTTGGAGATAGTCAAAAACTCAGACGCCGATGATCTACAAGTGGTCTATCACATGGAGTGTGCATTTATGTGCTTCTTCATATTCTTAGTCGACATGTCCATATTTATGGACAAAAGTGTAACTTACGTGGATGTGACATACCTCAAGTATTCCATTCGACCATATTCCATTATACTATGGATAACTGACAAGTGGCACTAATATCATGTGCATGTATCTGCAAGAGAGGTACATGCGACCGTTTGGGTACGTACAGATCATTTTGAAGTCCTCTTCTAGAATGCTCTTTAGAGCATTGTCTGTAGACAACTAGATGATATTATGGGAATTTTGAGAGTCGTCTAGTACTGAATGAGTATCAAAGTCAGGCATCCACATATAAGTGGTCTTATGTGAATGGTTACATGATTTGGTTCTATTATATGTCACACCCTTACATGACATCAGACGCTATCAAAAGTCCACCTAGGCCTGATCATGAGGAGATCCCGAAGAATGAGCGGGTCAGAGATGATCATGTCATTGATGTGTTGTCGATCTGTCAGAATATTATGCGGATGATATGAGAGGACATCGAGTCTGGGCTGTTTAAGAGAGGTGGAGATGAAGCATTTGACCTAGCACATTCCATTCTTACTGACACATAAATGCCTTGAGTTACCGTAGGCAGAGAAAGAGTCAGTGTGTTAAGATTATACATACTCAGTAGATTATGCATTTGATTGTATTTTGTATATTTTCATACTTTGAGAAAAAAGTTTGTACTATGATTGTCTTTCTGATTAATTAGTGCATTACTCTATTATATGATATTTGTGTTTATTAATCTTTAAAATAAATGACAATATTAATCGAATTAAAATTATTTTGAATTAAAAAAAAAACTATAATCTCACTACACTGTTTCTACACAAGAAACATGCCGGTAAGATTTCGAATATGTATTTTCGAATTTACTCTATAATTAATTCGAAGATACATTTCCGAACTATTTTCTTAAGAAATGGCATAGTTGCTTGATTTACTAGGAGAAAAAAAGTGACTACGGAGATATATTTACGAATAAATCAAATGATTGTGAGATTTTCAAAAATACGCCATAATATATATTCCATTTCTAAATAAATGGTAGGTCTCCTTTAAAAGTAAGTCCACAGTGCACTAATTTGAAGTCTCCTTCCCCTCTACGCCTTAGTATTCAATATTCATGGCTATTATCTCTTTACGTTTTCAATAGTTTACCACGTCTATGAATAATCCAAATTATTACAAAAAGGGACAATTTTGAATTAGAGCCACATGTTCAATGTCTATGTGTCTCTTGGCAACTTTGATCGCTTTTTGAAAAATTTATTGTGTAAATAAACTCACTCAATCTAGCCCGTTAGATCACTCCCATCAATCTAGACCATTAAACACAGCTGCTAAACCCATCTTCTTTCCCTATCCATTCCCTGCAAAATCAATGGCTGCCAAGATGATGTTGCTATCCCCACCTCCACTCCCATTTCACACAAACAAACTACAACAATGGCACCACCACCATCTTCCAACTCCAAAACCAAAGAAACTTCGAGTATCCCTTCACGAGAGTGCCGAATTCATCACCCAACAACAACAACTACTAAACCCCAATTCTCTTTTTTTGCTTACAGAGACAACTGGTTATTCTTTGGCTAGTTACTATACTTCTCTTGGTCTTTTTGTTATCTCTGTTCCTGGTCTTTGGTCCCTCATCAAACGTTCTGTTAAATCTAAAGTAATTCATTTTTTTAAGGAACTTTTGTTTTATTATTATTGTTTTTGTTTTTGACAATTTGGTTTGTTATGGTTGGTTGAAAAAACATAGATAGTGAAGAAGACATTTGTAGATCAAGTTGGAAATAAGGCACCAAATCTGGTTGCAGGGGAGGTGCTGTCATTCTTTACTCGTAATAATTTTTCAGTGGTTGATAGAGGAGAAACAATCACGTAAGTAACCATTATTACATTCTCTTTTCTTTTGGCTTCCACCTGTAACATGCAATACTAGTTTGGCAGGAGATGTTCTAGTTAAGGTTTTAAAACAAGTTTTTATGATTCTTATTTGAAGGTTTGAAGGAGTGATGGTTCCTAGCAGGGGGCAAGCAGCACTGTTAACTTTCTGCACTTGTATCAGTCTTGCAAGTGTTTCCCTTGTGCTTACGATAACTGTGCCAGATGTTGGCAATAATTGGTTTTGGTTAACCATCTTAAGTCCATTGGCGTGAGTGAATGCATTTGCCATTCCCACTACACTTATTAATGCGTTTTCTTTTCTGGAGGAACTGGAATGAGCTCATGTTGATATCTTGAATATTTATGCAGGGGTGCTTATTACTGGACTAGAGCATCCAGAAAGGAGCAAATTAAGGTGAAACTAATAGTTAAGGAAGATGGAACCTTATCAGAGATCGTTGTTCAAGGTGATGACCAACAAGTGGAGCAAATGAGAAAGGAACTCAAGTTTAGTGAAAAGGGCATGGTTTATGTTAAGGGTCTTTTTGAAACATAATGTACACAGATGAGTATGCATGTGAAAAACAGCCCACAGAAATGTTAGTGAACAATTATGTTATAGCAGCAAGCTGACAGTTTTGATATTTGCCATAAGCACCTAGTTCATTTAAGATTGTAATGTTTCTTCATTTTAAAGATGTAATCATATACACAAATTGTATGCAAAAACCAACGACACATCCTATTTGTTAAGCACATATAGGAATGTAATTTATGATATGATAAAATACAATGCGTTATGCCTGAAGTCATCAGCTTTTAAACAATTCATTTGTAAATTGTAAACAAAAAGCCAGGCAATTATTGATACAAGTATCGTCAAACAGTAATACTTAAAATTTGGAGATACATAAACACTTGCTAAAACAACAAATAATAAAGATTCCCCGGCCAAGTATGTCCATGGCACATTTCGACATTATCCAATAAATCAAAAATATTTTGAACTCCTTCCACTATTGAGCAGCTCAAGGTCTTTAACCGATCAGCAACTTATTTTCCTCCAAGAATGAATAAGTTGGTACCTCCAGATTGTATGGTGCAGGTCCCTTCCTAATTCTGCCAGAAATATCATAATGTGATCCATGGCATGGGCAAAACCACCCACCATAGTCTCCGGCATTTGGCAAGGGAATGCAACCAAGATGTGTGCAAACACCAATCACAACAAGCCATTCTGGGTTCTTGACTCTGTCGGCATCTTGCTGAGGGTCGCGAAGAGATCCAATATCAACACTGTTTGCCAACTGCACATCGTCATCGGTTCTGCGCCTGATGAAAACTGGCTTTCCACGCCACTTAACAGTGACAGTAGTGCCGGGCTCAATGCTGGAGAGATCAACTTCAAGTGAAGCCATAGCAAGAACATCCTTACTTGCAGACATGCTGAGGACAAGCTTGAGGACAAGAAGACGGATCACAGAAGCATAAGCAAACCTTCCACCAGTTAGGACAAAGTATGCAAATGCTCTCTTGCTTGGGTCACCAGGAGGAAATCGTTCATGGTTGTGCTCATCATATACAATCTTAGAAGATGGATTTTTAACAGCGGTAACAGTTGCGGGGATTTCAGGAAGAATGCTGTTTTCTTTTGCATGGATTAGTGATTCACTAGCAAAACCTGGATGCAAACAAATTTAATCAATTACTAAGTAATGCTGTAATCCAAATAAAGGAATTAATGAGGTTATATCTAGTACGATAAAAAATTATAAATCAACTGTTAGGAAAGCAAGACTCATCTAACACCTAACCAAAGAATAACATAAGATCAATTACAAAACTAAAAAAGTCGGCCCCAGAAGCAACATAATATGCAACTGCAAATCAATTATAGATCTAAAGATACAGAATACAGACTAGAGGTAAATCATGAAATTGTACAGAAAGATTTCTTACAGCATATACATACAACAATTCCATGGATAATCAAGCAACCTAAAATGTTATTTGAAGTCCATCCAACTAATCAATTCAATAACAGCTAACCACACTTGCAGAGTTTTTATCAAAATTACAACTGGAATCAAAAGCGCAAAACATTCTACGCTGTAATTTCATCTGATAAAGTTTTGAAGATAGTAATGAAGCATGACTATTACCATAAATATGACTCAAACATAACAGCAGTAACTTAATACATATTCTAGTTTATATTCATACCGCCAGAAATTAAAAGCTCGCCACCAGAATCTTTAATACATTTCCTTTATGAATAACACAACAACTAGTTTTTATCACTATGCATGCATTGAGTAGTATTTCCTCCATACCTATATCTTTTAAAGTTGTTTTGCACAAATCAATATATAACTGTTATTAATAAGAAATTTTCAAATATGCACCTCCTTTTCACTGGTCCACTCAACTATTTACTCTCTTATGCTTGCCTAGTCGTGATTCTCAGGAATATCAAATATTAGGATGATTGCAATTCAAAAGCTTATTTAAAACATTTAACAACAAACCAGGTAACTTCAACATGTTCAAAAGTGCACTTCCATAACCCACAATGGAACACAAGCAACAAAACAGATATCTCAAAACCAAAATTCAACAAAAAAAAAAGGTACTTTGCATTCACAGGGTCAAAACGCCAAATGAAAAGAGAACGAATCCCACGCCATCTTCAATCTTTCTTCAAACATACACACACAACTCAAGAAAAACAAGACTAACAAATCAACCTCCCTGAAGATTGGAATTAAGAAAAACATCCAAAAGCTAAAACCTAATCACATAAATCATTCACAAATAACCAATTTCATAAAAATTATTGCATAACAATGAATAACCAAATCATAAATTGATCCGAACCCTAACATCAATCGAATCAAACCGACCAACCAAAACGAACAATTTTCCAAGCTCAATTTCACCGTCAAAACAAAACACCATGGCAACAAAAGCACTAACCTCTGAAGGGAAGAAAGAATTCGGAATGGATCGAAAAGGGATCAGATCTGCGTTCATCGGAAGAAGGCGGTGCGATGGGGTTCTTAGAGACGAAAGCGGATGCGGCGTGGTTGGCTCTCCATGAGAGAGATGAAAGCCTCTTGGATGCAACCCTCAACATCTTCTTCGTTGGTTCTCTTCGCTTTTCCCTGCGCTTGTGTTGTACACAAAATGAGACGATTGTTGAGACTCGAAAAAGGGGGAAAATGGGTCTGAATAGCCTCTGTGCTTGACCAGTGGGTGGTTTTTGTTCGGTTTTGGGCCTGGTCTAAGCCCAAACGTTCTTATATAATAGGGACGTTTACCTCCCATCCTTAATTGCACATGGCCCCTCATTATTGTATAGAAAGACAGCTATGTTCTTTTAACCATAGAGTAAACGATTTGAAATATTTTGACTCATTAACACATTTTAATTGTTTTTTTTTAATGTAAAATAATATATTAAATAAGGGACTAAAAAGCTCAACAATAAAAGGCACGACGGGTGTTGAACCAACATACTGCAACCAACTAAGCTATACCAAAGAAAACCAAAAGAGACACGGAAAATACCTCCACCAAAACTAATAAAAATATCCGCATAATAATAACCAACCATCAAGGACCAAGTTATAGCTCAAAGCTCAAACCCACCATCGACAAACTAAAAAACGAAGGTAAAACGTCAAAAAAAACCACTAACACCAGAGGGCCAGATCATGAATCTTTATCCCTTTAGATTTAAACACTTTGAAGTCAATTGGTGAAAGAGATAAAACTCATAGAAGATCTGGTAAAAAAACTAACTATAAGTCAAAAAAATATTTTATCTTCCACTTTTTCACCTTTATTGGTGAACCGGAGAAATGCCTATTGTTATAAAAATCAAATAATCTTCACCACTGCATGCCAAACCATAATAAATCCAACCCTAAACTTATCCCTAGAACCTAAGGAAATGAAAAACTTAAAAACCAACTTAAGATCCATAAGAGGAGCCAAATACACCCCTAACCACCAAAAATCATATATCAGACACTGAAAGTCAAACTACAACTCACAAACAAATGAGAGACTGATTCTAACTGATCCCCACAAATGGTACACAGTATTCCCTCCAGGTCAATAATGAATTTTCTATTAAACAATTTTTCCTCAGATGGAAATTTATCTCGAAGGAGCAGCCAGAAAAAAATACTGACACAACTCTCCCAAATCAATGGAAGAGATTGAATCGCATTATCCAAATGATCCTCAAAGATAAGATTTGGATCTGAGAGGAGTTGATAAGCAGAAGGTACAGAGAAGAAGCCATCTCTAGTGTGTCTCCAAACCCATTGTCTCTCCATAAAAACTGATAATCTTAGAGAGCAAAAAATAACTCAAAACCCTGAGGTTCTTCGTGAACAAAGAACAGTCTCCTCCACTTGTGGTCCCGAATAATTTACCCCTGATCCTGCCTCCCCATCTCACCTAAAGTCCCATTTAGAAGTTCGGAGATATAGAAAAGTCTCTAAAATCGAATCTTTAGGGGGATATTACCTAACCAAGAAGTCTCTAGAAGTATCAAAAGACCAGACTTAACTTTCTCAACTAAACTAGACTCACACCAATTTAAAGGGTCATCTTTCTTAGATCCAAGAAGACAAACTCCTTTCCAACATGTGGACATAAAGTGATGCCCCACAAACCTTCCCCCACACCAGGAGGAGACAATGGAATCACCATAATGGGCAGAGATATATGAAGTAACTCTAAAAATTTTGAGGTGGTAAGATGTTTGAGCTTCTTGTGCGGCATCTTAGTCTGCTTGCCTATCTAGCACTCTCCATAGATTTTTCCTTCTTTAATCTTGAGCTTTGTCCATCCCTAAATAGCATATTCATATATGATCTTTTTCATACTTTTGAGATTGAGATGACTAAGTTTTTGGTGTCATATCTTGGTCTCATCTACCTTGGATATAAAACATGTTGAGGCCTGACATTTGTTTTGAGATAACCACAAATAACACTTGTCTTTGGACCTTGAACCTTTCATTAACACTTGTTGATCTTCACTGGAAAATACACATTCTGGTTTGTTGATGCTCACATTCACACCTTGATCATATAGTTGACTTATACTTATCAAGTTTGCAGTTAATCCTTCTATCAGTAGCACATCATCAAGGCAAGGGAACTTGTACAAACCAATTTAACATACAGTGACATCTTCATATTCAGTGACATCTTCTCGACTTATAAGATTTCATCCAACATATTTGAACCATTGCTTAACATACAAATTGATTTTATCATATTTTCAAGCTTGGAGCTTAACAAAGTTACTTTCTCTTCCAGACCAATGATGGTTGAAACAAGTTTCTATTTTTCTTAAAGGAGAGCACTAATAATTTTCTTTAAAGGTGAGAAAAATACATAAGAAATGAGAGTTGAATTGCGTAAAGAAAATTATTTCAACTTCTATAAAAATTAACTTCGGAATCTGAACAAGTTCAAAATCTAATCTTAGAGATGTTAGCAGCAGAATATAAAGGTTCAGAAGTAAGGAAGAAATAAAGGATGACACACAAATTTATCTTGGTTCCTACCACAAACTAGGAGTAGTCTAGTCCCCTTGTACTACAAGTGGTTTTTACTATAATCAAATAGATTACAACTTGCTTAAGCAAACTAACGAGAGACTCCAACTGCTCAATCACACTAGAAAGAGACTTTTGCTCAAGCACGCAAGAAAGAGGCTTCATCTACTCAAGCAAACTAGCAAGAGACTTCATAGACTCTAAAAAATAGTTTAGAATAATATATAACAAATGCACTTGATATACAATCTGAGGTGCAAAAGTAATACAAAACACACACAAAGACTCTTAACCCTTAAGACTTCTAAGATATACAAAGATAAGAACTCTTAAGGACTTGTGCAAAGAAACAACTTTATTCACATTAGCTCAATGTTATTATGTAATATGTTGATGTCTTCCTTTAAATAATCATGTCCTTTTATAGGTAAAAAAGAGACGTTGGAGGGTTACTTGCACAAGAGGTCTTTGCTGAGAATTTTTTCCAAAAGATACGTTGGAAGTTACTATACAAAAAGTTATAGTCCCTTTTGTAACAACTTTATCCAAAAACATGACCTTTTTATACTAGGTATCTATTGAGTTGTTGGATCAGACACAAGGAGACGTTCCAACTCTTCTTGAACCTTGTGCTATAAAGAACTAATTGACTTTCTTCATAATATGGTCTTGATAGAGTAGATTTTCTTTAGAGTCTGAGCATTGTTCAGAAGCTGAGTTTTCTAGTCTTGGTCTTCAGAGTCTAAGTCATCAGATTATGAACCTTCATAATCTGAGTCTTTAACTTCTCTTCATATGTTATTTCAATGTCTTTCACATAATAAAATTAAGTAGTTTCTCTATATAGTGGATTCTGATGTTTGTCTAATAGGTTTTGCGCTTGCAATCCTATGTTATCATTATAGATTTAACAATTGCTAATCCATAGTATTTTAACTGTGTTAGAAATGAAATATTTCAAATTCAATTGTAAGTGTGTTTGATTTTCTAAAAAATAAGAGACTGGACAACAGAACATCAACTGTTATCTATACAATATAATAATGCAAGATGAGTTCTTTGGCAAGTTTGCCACTTGTCATCCTCTCTTGCATTCTTCTATTTTTAAATCATCCATAAATGGAAACTTTCTATTTATGTCATACTATTCTTTTTATTTAATTTTTAAATATTTCTCTTTACAATTTATGTTGTGTCACACTTAAACAAATATTGGGTTTCTTCCAAAAATTGAACTGTATGTAGTTTTTACGATGCAGCCGTTCGCAACCTTGACCTTCCCAATTAATTTTGTATTCTACCAATGCAGATTGATGTTTTATGAAGTGTATCAGCAGTCATTTTCTTCCTTCATCCAATCAAATTTCTTGAATTCCAATGCAGAATGCAAGCTTCTTTATATCAAAAAATCAATTATTCTCGATTCCCAAATCCTTATTCATGTATTCGGATGGATCTAAGATGTGATTTTAATATCTCATCATCAATTAATTCTCTTTTCCAGGCAATTTCATACATCAATAGGTATTTTAAATGGGTATTGTCCATCCCAAATTGTATACAAATTGGATTTCTTCTTGATATTTGTTAGAGTTGTTATTCACGATTGACAAAATTTTCATCAAACTTTTTGTGTTACGTTTGGTGATGGCTTCCGAATATGTCAATTTTGTTAACGAAATAACTCTTGCAAAAGAGTCGTGGAACATTATGGTTCGAGTTGTCCGATTATGGTTCGTCCCAGACATGAATGTGAAACAGAAATATTTTGCTATGGAAATGGTTCTCATGGATGATAAGGTTATAAGTTTGTTTCAATTACCTTTATAGTCAAATCAAATTATTTGTTTTATACAGAGTTAGTATGAATTATACAGATATATAAATTGAATCGTATATTATTTGTGAATTGTTAGGGTGACAAAATCCAAGCTTCAGTTAGAAAAACCTTGTTTCCTCGATTTGAAAATAAAATTAAGGAGGGATCTTCATATTCTTTCAAGTCATTCGGTGTCGCTGCTAATGCCATAGTTTTTAGGACTATGAAACACCAATTTAAATTGAATTTGCATAATGGCACTATTGTCACAGATGTTGGAACTGAAATGACGACATTATCGCCTTATTCGTTTGTGTCTTTTACATATATTCTTGGCAACATAGACATGGACTACTTGATTGGTATTATACCTTATGACTTATTATTGTTTTTCATGTCTTTTCATATATTTTCATATATCTCAAAGTGTGCGAGAAAACAGTGAAAGACCTACAAGCACAAAAATCCCAATTTCAAGAGACTATGCTGACCCTGGCCAAGGGGCAACAAGAGTTGATGGCGTCGTTGGCATCCAAAAAGAAACCAAAGAGGAAATCCCTAGTCAATATAGGTAAGAGATTCAGAGAGTCGATCCGTCAAATACTGGTAGTGGAAGATTCATCTGAGGAAGACGAAAATCAAATTGGAGAAGCAATGAGTACCCAAGTAGGGTGTATCAATGATCAAGCGTAGGACGATGAAGATTATTTTGACGAGCAGTATCCTCCTACCGATG